AACATCTCACAGTGATCTACCAGTACCAATATTGCCCTATGGTTTGGTTCCAACCTATGTCTAAATTCAAGTCTGCAGGACATTAATTAACAGTTTTAAAGCTTCTTTGTTATTGTAATTTTGAATTAAGAAAGACTTCATATGCAGGAGTATTGAAGGACCCAAGAATAATCTCTAACCACAAACACATAACTACTGTTCTTTTATTTTTTCATTTTCTTTAGAGATGCAATATTCAGGAAAATCTTTACCAGTAACTCAACAAGTAAAACTTGCAACATGAGCTGCTTCTCATCTTCTACACTGCCACAATTTAGTCTGTGTGTATGTCTATCATTCTGTGGTTTGGCTCAGCCACAAAGAATGACAGAGTCAGACCGCAACAAATAATCATACCCATCCTGATCTGACACTCATAATCAGAGTGTTAGGTCAGGATGGTCAAATACTTAATTGTGTATCCTTATAAGAGAAGAAGATATATGTTTAATATTGTTATTACAATTCGGTTATGGCTAGGAGTTTTTTCCCCGTTGCACCAGCTATACTACTAGGCACTGTTCTTGACTAAAATAAACTTCAGAATAAAATACTTCAGATACTCCATCCAAGTGGTTTGAGCCATAGTTTAATGTACACACTTTATACCGACTACTTCCATTAGAACTACAGAATATGTAGATAATATGTAGAAATTATTCTGACCAACATGAGCTCATTGTTTAAAAATGTTCAACAAACCCCTTATTCTGAAAACAACACCTTTCCAGTTTAAAGATATGTCCAGAGTAAATAAACATATCCAAAGACTGGTGAAGATTCTTGTTCATCCAGGTCATAATCATTCCAAAAAAAGAAAATAATAATCCAATGGACTTGGTTTGAAAAGGCTTTGCTTCCCATCTAGGAAGCCTTTTCAATTCAAAATGTCTGAATAAGTGTTGAGTTACAAGCTTTATATAGTAGCCCAAAAGATTTGTTTTGGCTTAGAAAACATGCAAATTGAACCAGAAGGACGGGTCCGCCACTTACTGTAGGACCACAAAAACGACTCCCCATTCCTAAGGGACACACCCTCTGATTGACTATACATCACATTCAACAGACTGCCATCGAGCCAAGAATATCTTAAAGAATTATCTTTAGTGGCATTAAGATCATGTTGCGTACTACATTTCTCAGAAGTGGCAGATTTGGGCAAAAATTACCTTGCCATGAGAATGAATCCTAAGTGAGATTAACCCTTTTGTTGCAACTGGTACGAGACTTGTTTTATCTTGTTAGTCAGAAACTGATCAATACTTTTTTTCCTCATTCAGCCCTTAAGAGATGACTGGTCATCAATTTTCACAATAAGTACAAGTGCAATAATAAAGCTGAAATATAGAAATCTGATTTAAAATTAGCTCCTAGGATAGGATGGGAAAAGGAAAAAATATCAAAAAGTCTTTTATATCTCAAAATATTTGCAGCCCTCTGAAATTTGTCAGTCTGGCCTACGCATTAATAAATGATCAAAGATGGATCACTAGAAATTGCCACTAAAAAGACCCTCTACCCTCCTGTTGCCAAGGATACTGCAACAGACTTTCATGGAAGTGGGGATGGTGGTTTCACTGGGAACAGAGCAAGGAAGACCTGAAAGAATAATAAATCTAAATCTTTTTTTTTTCTTCTAAGTTACCCATGCTTCAGCACATCTAGTGCAGACAGATGCATTTCACGATTTCTCTAGTTTAATTACAATACACTCTGGTCTATATGCATTACCGTTTGTTTTTTTCCATCTTCAATGCTGTATTATCTACATTCCCTCAAAACACAGGTTACATACAATTAGGATTTTGGCTCTGATGTAGAGTTTATTTCACTCTCTCAAGCCTCTCACCCTTGGGAAGATGGTGAATGCAACAGCTGCTTGGGGAAAAAAATAAAGCACAAGTATAACTGTCTATGTCATTGGTAAGTCACCAGGCAGTGTCAGTAAAATAATTACAGATAAAGAGAGAATCATTCATACTTCCGGCTTCTTTTTCCTTGCTTTAAGATAAACATGAATCATACTCTAAAGACGTCTGTTAAACAATATTGATTTTTTTGTTTCAGGTAGCTCTGGACTTAAAGGGACCATGCCCGGGTTGTAGTTGAGTTCTTCATTGAAGGGGAGGATAAGGTCCTAAAGAACTAAAGATAGAATTCCAAGAAGATTCCAAGAAGACTGGCCACCCAACGGTTGAAGTAATGTGTTTCTTAGGATAGTGTTGGAAACCAAGGCCAGCACTTTTCAGAATAAGGTTAAGGAAACTAAATTCGACCACGCCCAGTTTTGGCGGTTGTAGAAAAGGCCAAGCTTCATGTTAAAAGTGAAAAACCAGTCAGCTTTGAACTGTCCAAGATTTTGAAAGCTGTCTTCCGTAAAATGCTTAGAGCAAATGAACAGCTGAGCATCAAACTTTGCAGGGATCTTCTGATACACAAAAATAATCTATCTGGGAATCTATCTGGGAAGACCGATGAAAATTTTCCCCTTTTGCCGTGCAGCATGGAATACTGCATTTATGCCCGTGGTTCTGGCTCTTTTCAATAGAGAAACTGCCTGCTTTGTAATTCTTGTAGAAGTAAACCCAACTGTAGGGTAAACTGGTGTCTTACATCTACCTTCTACTTCATATTCTCATGGGCCAGTGAACCAGTGTGCTGTTCTGTATGTCAATTTCGGGGCGTGACAAAAGTACAGGCCAGAAACAAATAACGCAACATCCCTGTATTGATGTCAATTCGGTGCTTCGTTTGAATTCGGCCGTTTTATGGTGGAAGTTTAGAATTGTGAGATTTGCAGAGAAAGGAGGTATCGATGGGGTTTGAACATCTCTGTACATCCATTTCACCCACTGAACTATTGTTATTCACCTATGACAGTGTAAACTTGGTTTTGCATTCTATGACCCCTTCAATTTCATTTGATACCATATATTAATAAAATTATAAAGAAACACAATACAGAGAAGTCGAAAGTGAATTGAAATAGTTCTTTTACTAAATACTGATTTCTTTTTTTAAAGAGTGTAGTGCAATTGCCAGAGAGTTTGAATTAATTTACCCCTATTGGTAACAAATTATAATTACACCAGTGTTGTGTACGTGAATGGGAGAAGAGGAAAAGCATTGCAGTCTACCACTGCGATTCCAAAGGTCAGTTAAAGGCGTTATGTCCTCTAAGGTAAGAAAGTTATGAATATATAAGTTATCTCTCTAATGTGTCAATAGTGGCAGAGACTCAACAAAGTAATCGGGTGAACAAGAGCAGCATGCCGCAGCCACTTGCGCGCCCAGACAATCTCACTTGCAATACCCTCTCATGAACAGACTACAGAAGCTCATAAGGGGTACCTTGGGTGAATGGAAGGCGATTTATTTAAACTGTTGGGCAATGTAAAGGGCATGTGTGGGGAAAAAGGCTATATTTAACCTTTAAACTTACACAATAGTCCCTTAAATAGACTTAGACTTTAGACTTAGATAGTGTTTGTTGTCATTTTGTAAACACAGAGTGTATACAAAATGAAATTTTGTTTTGTAGGGCTTTCAGAACATTTGGATTGCATAAAGTGCAGCAGTGATCAAATGTAAACAGTGTGAGAGAAAAGACATAAACGCACTGATTTTGAAATTCATAGCATTAAATATGTATGGTGCAAATATGCAGAATTTCCGTTTAGTGTTATCAGTGTGATAACACTAAACCGACATAATTTAGAGATTTTTCAACAGTTCAGCAGTCTAATGGCAGTGGGGAAGAAACTGTTTCAGAATCTACTGGACCTGCATCAAATGCTGCGAAGCCTCTTCCCAGAGGGCAGCAGTGAGAGCAGTCCATAGTGGGGGTGTGAGGGATCATTGATAATGTTATGGGCTCTGGACACGTAGTGCTGGGATGAAATGTCTTTTATGGGGTGACGAGGATCCCCGGTGATCTTCTCTGCTGTTCTCACCACTCTTCTCACTTTCTTTCATTCTGTGCACTGCACCCGCCACACCACACAATGATGGTCAGAATGCTGTCTATGGTGCTTCTGTAGAAGGTGGTGAGGATGGGTGGGGGGCAGGTGGGCTCTCCTCATTATCCGCAGGAAGTACATGTGCATTTGTTCCCTTTTGACCAGGTAAGTGGTGTCTACAGTCCAGGTGAGGTTATCTGTGATGTGCACCCCAGGAATTTGGTGCTGCTGACCACCTCTACAGCTAAGCATGTTGATGAGCAGTGAAGCGTGGTTAGGTCGATTTATCCTGAAGTTGACGATGATCTACTTCGTGTTCTCCACATTCAGAATCAGACTGTTATCTCAGCACCAGCCCACCAGCTGCTCCACCTCCTCTCAGTTTGCAATTAATGCAATGTTTTTTTAAATACATAAAACAAATAGGGTTTTTAACCTTCCAAAATTTTTTGTTAATTTCTACTCTCATGTCCTTCCAGTACTACCAAAAGTTTGTATCATATTTTGGAATAAACAAAGAATTAGGTCATTAGTAGGTTTAAATTATATATTACAAAAAATGTAGATAAAACAAAGTATTAACCTTTAGTTTTGTTTTGAGGTGTGATGATCTAAGGGCAGAGAGTGGATGTCTAGACCCCTTTAAAAGAGGGACCTCTTCATCCACCTGCTTTCTCTCTCTTTTCCTCCTCCACCCGTGGCTCGACCCTACATGACCACGCACACTTTTAGTTTACTTTGTTCTTACCCAGCACCCAACATTATACCGTATTGCTATCTTACTGATTGCATTTGCAACAAGTACATACTGAAGACATACTAAAAAAACCCACTAAGGTTAAAATCTCGATCTCTGCTTTAGCTTTGTCCAAAAGGTGTACAAGTTCACATTAAAATAATATGAAACAACTAGTTAGCAAACCAGTTCAATCAATATTCTAACAATATTCGAACAGTAAGAATAGCATATTTTATCAGATTTTGTGACTCATGACGTCTTACTCTTATATCTGGGCCGTTACAGTTGAGGCTCATCCCTCGCTCGTCAGTGATCTCTGTAATCTCCGAGAGGTCATCATCCTCAAACTCATCCAGACTGATGTCATGAGTCAGCCTATTGGTAGCAGAAGATTGGGATAAGAAGGGGTAGGTAGAGATGGAAGGGGGGAAAAAAAAGTTAATCTCTCTGCATTTAAAATTCAAAGCCCATGAGATTAATTTAAAATGTGTGACCAAAAGAAATAATTATATTTCTAAAGTCAAACATTATTCAATAACTTTTCAAGTATCAAGTATCCAAGCCTTCAAAGAAAGAGGAATTAATGGAAATTCAAAAATTTCCAGTGTAGTGCAGTCATACAAACTGCTTTCTGATTTTGTTGAAGATATAAACTATAAATTCTGATTTGAGACCATTTTTTGTTCTAATAATTATCAAATTCATTTGTGTAAAAAATATGTGACTTTAATGTTACCAACATTGGCATAACAAAAAAGACAATTAATTGTAAAAGACAATTAATTAATTGTAAGTTCCTTGTTGAAACATTATACATACATGGTATACTGAATGTGTTAGTTTCACTCTTAAAAAAAGTGTATAAAAACACAAGCATAAGAACAACAAAATCGCCAGCAGTATATTTGCAACATAGTACCAAGCATTTACTTTGATAGTATTTCATTAATCATAACTTGACTGACTCTAGCCTTAAGCATAAAGAACAGAGCAAAAACCTCAATGTAATTATTTACTGAAGAAAATCAAATCAGTCAATGTAAAGCACATACAGCATGAAGCTGTTGCAGACCTGGAGAGCTCCTTCAGTGACAGACTGCTGCTCCTTATATGCACCAGGGAGCATTATCACAGATCCTTCCTTCCAGTAGCTATAAGACTATAACCACAACTCTTCCTAACAACCTCAACATTGAACATTGTTGAACATTGTAGAGCAAGGACCCTGAGCATCACCTTCATCAGACTGTTGCAGAATAGTGTCTTTCCTCAGGCTTTTTACATCTACTGTTAAGAAAGACCCTATAGGAGAAGGCCATGAATACAGACTTTCTATGATGTCACAAATACTTTGCCTAACACCCTCCATTTCACATCACATCCTTACCTTCAGGGTACAGCAGATAAGTTATGCTGCTTCAACATGCACCACTGCTAAATGGGTGCTATTTAGGTGATAATTTAAAGAGTTTATCAAGTATTTTCTTCACACACAGAGCCGCATAAAGTGCATTCTGATTCCTTGTCTCCATTAAACAGTATAAATGATCCTTGACCGGACTCTGGATTGAATCCTTCTTCTGCTCTAGTACACCTCCACTCTGACATAACTTCTCTTGCAAATACCAGTGGGGCTCCACATAAGTTGTATTAAGAAAGTATTAAATATATAGCTGTCAAAAGGCATGAAAATCTAAAACTAGATGATATTGGTGACTGACTGGACAGTGATTCAGGTTAGACTTATCAGATACATAAGTACAGCACTGCAGTTTTATTTAAGAATGAAGTGATTTAAATCAGTATATTGATCCAGAGTTCTTTTATATATCTGTTTTATGCTTAATCATTGATTCTAAACAACATAATGAACAATTTCCTTTTTCTGGTTGTGATTTTAAATACTGTAAATACTGATTAGTACATGATTGTAGCTTTAGCTAACCCAAATATTTACACTCCCCCTACTGATAAACATTCATAATTTAGCTGCTGTTTCATCACCACTTTTCAATGCTTTTTTTCCTCCATACATCTGTATCCTTCTCCCTTCACTGTTTTGTGCCCCCAAAAGCTGTTTGTCCTGCCTCTTTATCTTCTATATCTATCTATCTATCTATCTATCTATCTATCTATCTATCTATCTATCTATCTATCTATCTATATATATATATATATATGGAAGAGTGAAGAGTGAATATGGAAGAGAGAGAATCGGGCCAAGGTTGTTATCAAATTTGATATGCTAGATTATCACATACAGTAGGAGGAAAGATGATGCCTTAACAGGATGCAGCATATTTTCATAGATCAATCAAATGTATAGTAAATAGAAGTGATCCACATGCTAAGGACTTCAATGCTTCCTATTAAACAAAGGCAAGAAAAAAACATAGATATAGAAATCAGTATCCTCCTCAGCAACAGGCTTAGATATGCTTGTATTGAAAAACAAGCATAGTTAGATCATTTTTTCTTGATGAACATTGAATCACATTTGAGTAAACAATCCTTGATATTTTCTAAACCTTGTTAATTCTGCCTGCTATCTGCGGGCCATTAAGAGGCTGAACAGCACAATATTTTTCTTAAACGAATAAATGATAAGCTAAAATCAGTCACAAGAAGCACATTGGAGAGAACCAACCAGTTATCTGACTATGCTCACTGTGGTGAGCCATGGTACATGGTAATGTTTCTTTATTGTCACTCAAGGGTACAATGATATTGTAACTGTCCTGGTATGCATATGTGGACCAACTGCAACTGACTTTAGCAATTTTAGTTTAGAATAGGGAAATGTTACAGGAATATCAAATGAGTAAATTAGGTTTTCCAAAAAATTGACACAGCTTATACAGAAAATAGCTGTTGAGTTTGGAAAATTTCTTGCTATTTAAGAAGTGGTCAAATGGAAATAATTGATTTTTAACAGTAATTTTCATGTAAAAGCTTAACTTAATTCACATATCTTTTAAAGTAGAAGAAATCAAACTAAAGTTGATGATTCGACAGCCTGGCCTTCCAACTTAAGTAACCAATAATTTTTTTTAATTCAATTGTTCCATTTATTAAGTTACAATTGGCTCGGTCAGGTCCAGTCAGGTCTGTGCATGGCTTCTTAAAAAGCTGTTTCAAGAGCAATGGCAGAGCTACATGGTTGTTTTATCATTTGTGTTGCAAACAAGCCGCCATAATGTGTTAAAAGGGTCTCCTCTCCTTTATTTCATAGTGTAAGAATATAAGAAGGTAAAACCGTAAATTTCAATCCTACAGGGCATGAATTATTTATTTTGTACTACTTTTATTATGTTTAAAACTTTTGAAAAACATCCTAATGGACACAAAGACTGCAAAAATGTGTTAAAACAGGAGGGTATTTCAGAGTCATGCAGTGAATTTCTGTGGTTCGGTGTTTGTCTCATGTTTAAGATGTCCTTTTTGATTATGTGGAGAAATCATATTGTGCAGATAGACACAGCACTACAGGATTGATGTTTCAGTTTGTATTACTATGGATTTAGACTAAACTGCTGCCTTGTTCTGACAGTGGGGTGTAATAGGGCAGTGAACTGGCATTTGTACATCTACATGGCATCCATTACGTGTGCATTGATGAAGGACACTATGACCTCACACTTAGGATATAATGGGACAAACAAGCTTACTAGTCATTAAGAAAAACTGGAAAGCCAAAACAATCATAGCTAAAACATACATAGGTTTTGATTTATAAATGCTAAGACACAAAATAACAATTCACTATTCATCTTCAATAACATTTTTCGTGCGGCTGAAACATTTATATTTAATTTTACAATAAAAAGTTATATGTAGTTAAATGTTATGGTTAGTTAAATGTAAGTAAATGTGAAAAAATATATTGATAATACAAATAATTTTATCAATGATATCAAAATTGATGAGAAAGGGAAAAATGTGAGGCAAAAAAGCTAAACAAACACCCAAAAAGCAATTAACAGTGCCAAAACCCATGTCTAAATTACAGCAACAAACTCATGCTGTTTTTCTGACATTAATGGATATATAACTCTGATAACTATATATAACTCTATATAATCTACAGATTTTAGCTGACAAGCTAATTTCACCCAAATATACTGTAGCCAAGTTAGATTTAATAGCAAATTTGAGCAATACCCTTTACATCTTTCAGCTTACTCTGTATATGTTGCTGTATATTCAGAAATCACTTGATCTTGTCAATACAAAGAGGAAACAAGACCCCAATGCAGACAGTCATTCATCAGCTTTGCCCTCCTGCAAGGACAAGACACGGGGTATTATCCGGACCAGGGTTGTCCTGACAAATTCAAGACATTGGGTTTTAGAAAGGTAAAACACTCCTGTGCATGAAAACAAACTCTATCGATAACAGAGTAGTTGTTCTGCATCAGCACTTTTGCCATCATACACATGTACTACATAAGACCTCCAAGAATATTTTCTGACAGATTGCCCACTTCCTCTGTATGTTCTGCATCCAATGTAAAAATAAAGGAAAAAAATGTGCATAGGTCTCATGCATCCGGTCTCCTTCAAGGGCTTGCCTGCTTGAGGTGAACGATGCAAGGAAATGAAGAAAAGATCATGAAAAGAAATGTAGACAGTTGCACACTCACAAGGTCACACTCATACATACTGCTAGTCACAAAAACAATGCCCTACCATTTCTCCCACTGGTCCTCCATCCAACCCTCTCCTCCTTCTCCTCCAGAGTCCATTCTGTACGTGAGGAGGGCATCCACAGGCAAGAGAAGAGAAGGATGAGAAGGAGCAAGAGGGTAAGAAAGTGAAGCAGGGAGGGAGAGAAGGAGGAGCAAACAGGAAGAGAGCCCGAGGAAAAAGGAGGAGGGGTGCAGCTCGTCCGGGTCGGTAAGCGAGGAGTCAGATTGAAAGCATTGCTTGCTACCACTCGTCCAGAGGGGAGAGAGATAGATGGGGTAATTGTTTGAAGCTGTAGCACTGAAGCTGCCAAAGAGGAGTAGTGTTATATAACCCTCACTGTGCTGTGTGCATCAGATTTACTACGCCACTGCAGAAAACTGCTGGTGTTAGCAGATCATTCAACAGCACGGGAAGCCCCAACCGGGAAAACATTAGCACAACAGGACACTCCCCTGCATGTCTCTCTCGTTTCAAGTGTCAAGCTCAATTATTCATGAGGAACATCAATTATCAGAGGATTCATTTTTTATTGTTTTGTGTATCAATTGATCAATCTTGCCTACAGAAAATCCCATATTGTCTTTTTCTATCAGTTGTAAAATGATAGTCCTGTTTAGCAATGTAAAACACAAGATAGATTGTTGTTTATTCAGTCTGTAAGACTTAAATTCCACTGTGACTAATTTATGGTTGATTTGTATATTTTTAAACAGAAACCCAAGGTTTTCTTTTTCTAGCTCGAGTATTTTGACCTGCTTATTGAACATCCAGTCTGTGCAAAAATACTCCGGCACAGTAAGATATGGTACTATAGAATAAAGTGACAAAAAGCCACAAGAAAAGGATTGAGCAGCAGCAAGAGGAGTCCTGGAGGGACAACCCCCAAAACTGGTGGGAGGAGCTACAGCAGTGGGAGGGGCCATGAACAAGACAGCAAGAAAACCATTGGTAGAGCTAGCTGAAACGGAAGGAGCAGCAGTAGCAACTAGGGATGGAACGGTTTATGAAAACTGTCCGAACCGTTCTGTTCAACTGTCTTGGTTCGATTTGCGTGTGTTGCGTTCGGTTCATGCGCTGCTCCTTTTTCTCATAGGCGAAGCGTGTACTCTCCAGAGCAGAAGGTGGCGGTACTGCGACCAAAGCCAACCACCAGTAGTAAACAAGAAGATGAAGCGAAGCAGCGTAGCCGGGTGTAGCAGAAAAAAATCAGTTGTTGTGGAGAATTGTGTCGGTATGGCGAGTGGGAAAGAACAGGAGTTGGAAGACGCGCCAGCAGCACTTTATAGGTCTGCTGTATGGGACCACTTTGCATTTAGAGTGACCTACGATGACGGCAGAAAGAAAGTTGTGGATAAAAGTGCAACAGTGTGCAAGCATTGTGCAACATGTGTTGTACTATACAAGACATAATAGATTTTCCTAACAATCAACTAGGCTTGTCCCGATCCGATACGTGGATCGGATCAGGACGCCGATATTAGCAAAAAAATGCGTATCGGCAAAGCATGTAAAATGCCGATCCAGACTGCCGATCCAGTTTAAAAAAAAAAATCCGGTCCGTATTTTCCAGTTTCGCCGATTGAAACGATCCATTCCACTATTTTGCGCCAGTGTTTCCCTGTTTTGCATTTTTATTAAAACTTACAGTAATACTTGCACCTTTAACTGTTTACGGTTTTACTGTTCACTGTGCAATTTCAGATTGCTATTCATAATTTTGTCCAGTTTGTGTTTATCTCTTAATAAACAGGTAAGTTTGTTGTTACCAAGCATTGTGTTTTATTCAATCTCACCTAATTTAGCTGGCTAGATGTTATCAAGAGTACTAAAACCCTTTTCAACATGAGTCTTACAACTAAGGCTAAATACTTTAACTTAAACTTAAATACATGCTCGGATAGGCTGGTATCGGCCAGTATCGGTATCGGATCGGAAGTCCAAAAACAATATCGGTATCGGATCGGAAGTGCAAAAACCTGGATCGGGATATCTCTACAATCAACATAAAAAAAAACCGTGACCACAAAACCGTGAACCGAACCGAACTGTGGATTTTGTGAACCGTTCCACCCCTTGAAGCACAATACTTTTGCTGCACAGTGTGACTTTAAGTAGTCAGAATGTTAAAGCGGAAATTAAAATTAAATTAAAATTACCCATCCTGCAAACAGGAGGCCTGGGTTCATATCCCAGGTAGGAGAAATGAGCTGCCAGTTTGGGTACTTACGCAAGACCCACTCTGGGGCAAAGGAACCACAGCTGAAGCCTAGTGGGCGGATATTGCGCCACAGCGCAGAGATAAGGCATCTTAAGGGGAGAACTCTGGACAGAGCCAAAGAACTAAAGACATTCATCAATAAGTTAAATTCAGAGGCAAGCTCTGTCTCCTTAGCTCCTGCCCACAGTCAAACAGACATCCCATCTTCGCTTTCACCCAAAGCCTCCCTACAGACCTCAAATGTTTATCTTGTTCGTGTTTCATGAACCCTTTTATTTCAATGTGTTTGTTGGTGCTGCTGCTTGTCACTACCTGATCCATCCTGTAAGCATGATCCGTCCTGAGCATGCGCGAACAGAATGAGATCCGGATTGCCGTAAAACTACATAATAACGGTTCTAAAAATAGTTATTTATATACTTAAAACTTTAAAAAAACGCTAAACTACATATTGAAGTTTAAAAATATTGAAGACTCTTCTGGAAGAAATGGATACGTTTTACATTCTCTCCATTGTATTGCGTGATGTCATCATCGGACATACTCAGAGCAGTCACAGTAACGTTTGAAAGGCTATTTAAGTGTTTTTTTTTTAGAATATGCAATATTTACACAAATACAAAAATATTCAAAATGAACCTCCCCCCCGCCGGAAAAGACAAAAAATAAAAAAGTAAGAAAAGCTAATTATTGCCTATCCAGAAGTTATTCTGTTGGTGCATGTGCAGGATGAATCGTGCTTCTGGGTAGCGATACTGCTTCCTCCACCTACCACCTGTCTGTTTCTCTGTGATTCTATAGAACCTTTTCAACCTTTGTCTTACCCAGGAGATGGTTCCAGTGATGTGGAACACCTCCTGCCTTGTTCCAAAATAAAAGAATACTCAGCCAACAGTCAACAATGTCTATATACCTATTCTCCTGGAATCTGATATAAAGAAGGTCCTAGAGAGACTTATCTAGATTCACCTGGACAAGCACTCAAACAGTTATTAAGTTGCCTGCAGTTTGCTTTTCCCTATGGAGTTGAAGATAATATCATGCAATGACACCCGTTTTAACAAACCCATTGTTATTTAAATAAAGCAGACAGCACTGTGAGGATCAGGTGTTTTCATATCCCCAGTGCTTTTAACACATTTCAACACATTTTTTTTTTTAGACAGAGTCACAAGAAGAGGCTTTAACAATTGCACGGAAATTCAAAAACTACTTGTCAAAATGTCTACAGTTTGTGAGACTCTGACATTGACCAATCAGTGAATCGGATACCGATCCAGTCATTTCTATTTGTAGTGATGTTATACACAGCAATACAAGATCTAGTGACTACAATTTTATGATTGCAACGCTGAATGTGTCGTCCCACAGAGCACACACAGCAGATGCTAATGATTTATAAATGTAATTTTTTTTTTTACCTTGTTTTAACTATGCATATGTCAAGCATGATGCCTTTACTTGCCTGCAGAGGTTAATTTATTGAACAAAAGTATTAGATAAGTATAGGATATCAGCCAATACGCTTGGCCCCTGTATCTGTAGGATTGTTCAAAATTAGATCGCTACACTTCTACTGTCATCCGAATACACGGATTACTCTGCAGTTGTTGAGCCCATCAATGTTGAACAGTAAGCTCATAAACTGCTCTGTGGCATGGTGTCGAAACCACCTGATCCTGAATGTGAATAAAACAGAGAAGGCCATCTTTCTACTTTAGAACCTCTGGAGATGATTTTTGACAGGGGAGTTTTTTTTTAGAAACTGAGTAAGATCATGGACAACCCTGAGTGCTTCCTTTTAGAAGGCTGTTGAACAACAACAATGTGTCTGCAGTCAGACTTCACCAGGTCCACTGCAAGATAGATCACTACAGAAGATCCTTCTTGCCTACAGGTATCGACATCTGCAACAATTTAGTGAAATAAAAACCCTAAAGGAGTTACAACACCATTTCATTTTCCTTCGTGATCAGCAAATTATTGTTGAATTTAGTTGAATTAGCTGAGTGAGAGTGTGAATTTTTAACTAGTAGAGTCTTCAATAAGGTGTGCAGAAAGGGTTGACCTTTCAGGATGTCCTGCAGCATACTGTGACAGCTGCAATTTCACACACTGGTGATTTCAGTCACCAGGGTTTATTGTGGCGTCTTACACAAGCTTGGGAATTCACTAAGTCAGCCGCCTTCCTCCAGAACTTTTGATTTACCCCTTAAAGCCATGTAAAGTATCTCACCTATTAATTGGAAGAGTTATGCCATAAAAAAATGCATTTGAATTGTTTAGGAAGCTGTAGAGATGGCAGTGCCACTGTTATCTGAGTTAATGTTGAAAGAAGTGTAAAAATAAAAAGAAAGTAAAAAAGACTGTACCCGTAGACGATTCAGTTTCTAATAAACCAGAGAGACAAAGTGGACCAGCAGTTTCATTACAGAAAGGTGGTGGCATTAGCAAAAACATGTCTGATCAGCAGAATTTAAAAGACAGCAGCAAATAATCAGTAGATAAGAACTGCAAACAAGGCAACTACTGTCTGGGACAAGACAAATGCATGGTAATTAATTTAAATTGCCCTGAAAGCGTGCTGCACAGTGTATCAGTGGGTAGCACTGCTGCCAATTCCCAGCTTTCTGCATGGAGTTTGCATGTTCTCCCTGTGCCAATGTGAGTTCTCTCCAGGTACTCTGGCTTCCTCCCACAGTCCAAAAACCATTAAGTTAAATGGCTTCTCTAAATTCTCTTTAGGTGTGAGTGTGTGCATGAATGGTTGTTTGTCCTGTTTACCTCTGTGTTGCCCTGTGATGGTCTTCCAGAATCTCTAGCCTGATAAACCAGACTAAATGAGAGATGAAAGGTGTTATTTAGTCTGGCCCCGATGAATGAGACATCAGAAGATTGTTAATGAGAACAATCCATTGTTTTTCAAACCATGTTTGTGTCTGTTGGCCAACGCTCTGAGCGAAACTGAGTGAATACGTCCTTCTCAAAAATGAATGAGGTTATAGAGCCTCTTCCTGCACACGTTTCAACAAAAACCCCAAGTCTAATCCTTCAAAAACAGATTCCAAAGCTGAGTCAAA